CCACCAGGTTCTATCAGACCAGCAAACCTGGTGTCTCTCTCTCTCTCTCTCTTTTTTTTTTTTTAATGATTTTGAGTTTTGTTCTATATTATTCTCCTATTCTATCCAGGATCTCCTACATAGATCTCTGTCCGAGTGTTTAACAGTGGTAACCGGGTGCCATCTAGTTCTGGTCTCATAGTCATATAGGCTGAGGATTGTATGGTCTATTACTTGGACTAATTGTTTCCTTGTGTCTTTTGTTTTCTTCATTCTTCTTTGCTCTGGACAAGAAGAGACCACCATTGCATCTAGATGGCCTCTTGCAAGCTTTTAAGATCCTAGTCACTACTCACCAAAGTAGGACGTGAAACCACGTTTTGTGTAGTATGTTATGCCAATTGAGCTTGATGTCCTCTGAGACTATGGTCCTGAGCCCACAGGTCCAACTATTTGCTCCCTCTGGGTAGCAGGCTGTGGCCAAGAAGTGACTACAGTCTTGTCCCTTGTCAGCTCTACTCTGTACATGGGAGTTCTTACAGAACATACAAATACACTTGTAGAAGCATTGTCTGCCAACCCTATACATGGTCATGGGCACACTCCCCGCCTGCCACCCCTATATACATACCTAATAGTTCAGCCTGTCCACCCACCCATTTATCCACCTGTAGAGCAGTGTTTGCCTTCACTGACAACGCAGTACTGTATGTGCAATATGGTTCATCTTTGTTGTCTGTACCTCCCATGCACCTCTCTATGTTTCCCTCTTCCTCAATGCCACTGTGTTGATCACTCACATTTGGTACATTGCCCTTGTCTTCACCCAAATCAATAGTTGTCTCTACCTATCTAACAGTGTTCCCTCCTCTCCCCTCCCAACAAAGAAAATTTCCTTCCATATATAAACCCTTCCTTGACTTTTTACAATAATAGACTAATACAATAATTGTGTTTCTGTGATTGACTTGTTTCACTCAGTATAATGTCCTCCAAGTTCATCCATGTTATGCAGTGTTTTGCAGATTCAATGTTATTCTTTAGGGTCCATACATGACTTTTTAAAATAGGATTCATTCATTCATTTACTATGAATTTACTATGTGCTAGGTGTACTTCTAGGCACTTGGAATAAAACAGAGAACAAAGCAGACAATCCCTGCCTTCCATGGAGTTTCCATTCTAAGGGAAGAGATGGGCAATAAACCTGATAAAATGTCAAGTGATGCTAAATCAGCACAGAGGATGGATCAAAGCTGGGAACAACTAAAGGCTGAAACCAACTAGGAAGTGTTATCTGGGGATTATGAGTTTGGAGACAGTTATCACTGTCTAAAACATAGTGGAAGAGAGTGTACTAACAAAAACTAAACTCACTGCTGTCGAGTCAGATCCAACTCATAGTGATCCCTCCTTGGGTTTCTGAGGTGGTATTACTATGGAAGTAGATTACCCAATCTTCCTTCCAACCCATAGCGTCCCCTCCTTGGGTTTCCAAGGCAAGATTGCCCAACCTTCCTTCTGAGGAGTGGCTGGTGGGTTTGAAAGCCAACCTTCTGGTTAGTAGTCAAGTGCCTTAGGCACTATGCCACCAGAGCTCCTTTAGGTAAGGGCTAGAGGTGAGTATTTTAAAGTTACTAAAAAGATGTTAACTGAAACTTAATGAGTCAACTCTCCAAGTTGGGGAGTATAAAGGTAAAGAGGTGAAGACATAGGGCAATGAATAGTTGAACATGGAATTGGTGGGAAGACAAAAACCTGAAAGAGGGACACTTGAATTATTCAGCAAAAGGGGAAAATGAAGAGAGCTCAGTTCCCTCTCAACTGAAATGTGAGCTCTCTGGGAACAGAGGTCTCAGGTTTCCCTCATACCTGGCATTGTGCCCAACACTTAATAGACATTTAATCAATATTTGTTTATTTAGTGAATAAATGCATGGGTGAATGGCATCACAGAAGCTAAAGAGAAATTTTCAGGAGACTATAGGCATGCAATGTCCACAATACATTCTGTGTAATGGAATGTATGATTTGGACATTGTGTGAACGCTACAGTAAACCTCATGGGAGCCTGCTTCCACTCGTCCTCATGGCCATTGCTTCTGCTGCATCCACCACTGCCACTGCTGCTGGAGCCAGAGCTGGAGGAATGGGGGGAGGGCAGCAGTGTTGGCTGAGAGGGTGGAGGTAGGAGTGGATAGAGAGGAAACAAGTGGGGCAGGAGTGGAGCACGCCCAGCCCTGCCTGCTTTAATGCCGAAATAAGCAGCAGGAGCAGCAAGGTCCCCTGCAGCGCCTGGGAGCCCAATCCAAGATCCATGTCCTCTGCCTCACCTGCCTGTTTCCCATCCATGGTCCAGTCTGCAAGAGTCTTCACTTGTTTTTTTTTTTTTTTTTAAACCATTAAGGGAAAATAATAAACAAAAGGAAAGCTACTTTCCCTTCAATTAAAAACAAACACAAACAAACAAACTCATAAAACCTTATGGGACCACAGACAAATTTGCAGTCAGACATTTCCCAAACAGACAACACTATACCAGTATAGGCAATCATATTAAATATAGTAGCCTGAGGTCCAGGGGGATTGAAATCTTAGGGATTGGTAGTAGATTTAGTCAGACTGAAGTTATTGCTATGAAGGATGTGGGCAACTTAGTACAAGCAGTGAGGTTAGACTCTGCAGTCATAATATTCATCCTCAACTGTTGACTAGCTGTAGGAACCTCAAGGCTCTGCTTTAGCCTTTCTTCTCTAAAGCACAGGTGGTCCCTGGATTACTAAAGAGATTTATTTGATCCTGTTTCTTTAAGTCCAATTTGTAGGTAAGTAGGAACAGGTGCATACAGTTCTTATTTAGTCTTACTTTAGTGCAAGAAAAGGCTTGAAGCCTTTTCCATGATTTTAAATCTGCACACGCAACAAGTGAAGGTGATTATGAAGAAGAATTTGTTGGGAGCAGGAGTGGGTTCAGTCATTTCAAAGTGAGGGCAAATTAACATAACATTAAAGGGCAAGGTACAAGTTGTCTGTAAGTCATAAATCAATACAGGGACTTATTGTACTCACTCGTGCTTTTCAGCTCTTAGAAAATTGCACCCTCCCCTGTGTTCAATAAGGGAAGAAGGCCGTGGGTCATCTTACTCTTTCCTAAAACAAGAGTAAATTTAGTACCACCATAGAACAAATAAGTTCAGTAACAATGTATTAGTAAAGTACTCTATCTTCACCAAAAACTGGGCAGTAAACCTTATGTTTAAGTTACTTCGGTTCTGATTGTTGTTGTTATGTGCCGTCGAGTTGGACCTGACTCATAGTGACCCCTCCTTGGGTTTCCGAGGCGGTATCACTACGGAAGCAGATTGCCCCATCTTCCT